CTGCTGTCAAAGGAAGGTGGACAGGTATACAAATTAGGTAATTTCAGATAACAAGTGCTTCTGAATCAACTGATGTGAAAGAATGAGGGTAAGATGAGACTGTTTTGTGTAGTTAGGGAAGTGAGGTGAAATTTGAATATAGACATGAAAGAAATATAGGAGTGAAGAATGATTCAGGCAGAGGAAACTGCAAATGCAGAGGCCTTAGTTCTGTTGAACATAAAGAAGGCCAGCATGGCTAGAGCTTACAAGTGAATAAGATGGAGAGGCAGGTAAAAAGAGCCTTATAGGATTTTACTCTAAATCAATGGAAAGTTTTGCGTAGAGGGGTGGCTGCTTTGTGGAGAGTAGACTGTAAAGGAGCAACAGAAAAGAAGCAGGGAGATGATAGTGGCTAAAGCTGGTTTGGTCACAGTGGCAGTGCTGAGCAGTGGAAGATTTGGGATGTGATTTGGAAGTAGAGCCAACAAGATCTCTTGTTGGATTAAGTGTGAGGGTAAGAGAGAATTAGGGATAATTGCTTTGCTCGAGCACCAGTAGAGGGTGCTATTTACTGAAATGGGAAAGACTGAGAGAAACAAATTGGGTGAATTTAGTAAAGTAAAATGTTTGGTTTGACTGTGTTAGGCTTGAGAAGGTTGTTTAATATCCAGGTTGAGATTTAAATATGCAGTTGAGGTCTTGAGCTCAGTGAAGTCATAATTGGATATTAAAAATATGGAAATAGGTATATATAAAATATATATGCTCTGGCATTTGATTTTTGCAAAGGACAGTCCTGTGATTTCAGGAGTCTCCAAATTTTAAAATGATATTATGGCAATAAAATATTCTCATAAAACACAGTTAAATATGATAACCATCATTTAAAGAGTCCTTACTATCAGGCACTGTTCAAAGTGCTTTATTTGTATTATCTCATTTTATTCTTTAAGATGGCTTAAAAAGTCAGTACTATTATTTTTCTCATTTTGTAGAAAAGATGTAAGTATTTTGCCTTCAGTCATAGACCTGGTAAATTGGTGGAGGAGCACTTGACCTAGGGAGATTAGGATTTTCTTACTCCTTTCCTTTTATGTACTTTTGTAAACCTTTTCAGTATCCTATAATTTGTCAGCTTTACTTTCACTTTTTTATATTGTCTATCTGCAACTGTGACTGTAAGCTATAACTCTAAAAATGGATAAAACAATAAGTAGCATTTATATTATAACCTTCTAGTGCTGGGCTAAGTAATATGGTAGGATTTCAAGTTTTTTCTTAGAATCCAAAATCATAGCCCCCTTTCCCTTTTGAAGGATGATACCTTCCACTGTCAGCATCACCATGATTGTATTTCTTAGAAATCATCAACTTCTGAAAATATATCACTTTTTAATTTGCTTAAAAAAAGAATGTTTCAGATGTATCTATTTATATATGGATCATGCCTATTCCTTTTACCTGCCGTGTCAGAGGAATGTCCAGGTCGCTTAAAATTTTTTGCTATTACTATTGTCCTTTTGCATTGTCAGTTTGTATATGTGCATGAGTTTGTCTAGGGCAGTTATTCTGAGCTCTGCCAGTCACTGCCCTCTTTTAACGCCCCCTTTTACAATCATGAAATAAATTTTGTAGATAATACCCACTACACATAATTTTTAAAAATTCTAATAATGTTCTAACTATACTATAAAGGAAATTTACACATAATTTAATGAGATAAAATATATTTCAATATGAAAATGTGCCAGCTTGACTACCCAAGAACACATGATATTCAGGTGGCTGTACCAATACATATTATTGCTGTAAATGCTACCCACTGCCAGTTCAGACCACTATAGATGTGTGGTTGCTGGTGATTCACACTTCGCAAGTGGCATTGCTGTTGATGATTGTGATATTCTAGAACTCTAAATTCTGAACCTTATTTCTTTGCATATGCCAACTTAAAGAGTTTGACCATTCAGTGTGACATCCAATCTATTTAACTTTTAACTCTCATACTCCCCCCCTTGAGCTTAAATATCCTGGTCAATCAATCACACCCTTATATTCATTCTTAATTCTCTTCTCCCTCCTCATTCTTGC